GAGGACTGGGGGAAAGAAACAGTAATCTAGCAAGGTTTCAGAGGAGAAAGCAACAGTAACCATGCGATGGCCGTATCCCACTGAAGGACTCCACCTCATCCAGATGGGCTCCTCATGACCACCGCAGGTCAGGCAGATCACTCTCCCATTGCCTACAGGTTAACAAGGACGTTTCTATACTCTTTTCCTCCGCAGTGACACCACCTCTGTTCAAATGACTTCCACACCTAGTTATCGCCGCATCAGACCACTCTAAACCAGTGCTTTTCATCAAAGCCAGTAACAAATCTGTTGCTGCCAGGATCACTCAATTTGCCTCAAACCTCCAGCATGCAGCAGTTCAGGCTCCTGCATCCCAAGTCGCTCTAGCTCCCTGTACTTGTATGGCAAGAACTTCATTCGGCCATTTCCATCTCAGGAGCCTTCACTTTGCCACATAAACATAACAGTGGTAAGCCGAGGGCAAAGGCAAACCCCAGAAAGAAGGGAAGATGAAGATCTTGCTCATATACAGTGCTCTCACATGTAGATCAGAGCATACTGAGGCTACACCATTTCTTACACTGTGACCCAGAGCTATGACGATACTTCACATTTTTCCGCTTTAGGAGCTTTGTCACAGCGGTAGACAGAAGAGGACCTGAGAGCTGCTTCCCATCAGTGGAATGTCCAAAAGTAGGGAAAAAGAGATGCTGGGATTCAGGAGAAGAGGAAGGAGCACAAGTTCTTACAGTTACTACATCCACATTCAGCACGAACACATGAGAATAAATGAGTGAAGTGGAAAGCACTTCTATAGCTAGCCATATATTGCTGGAAGATGTAAAGCAACAGCTACTCTTGAGACATGCATTCATAGCAAACAGCACTTGACACTATTCGCTTTCTGTGTGCTGAGAATTCACGTCACTAGCAGCTAGACTGGAGGAGAGTTCACTCCCCTCAAGAAGTCAGGAGTACCTACAACCCCTTCAAGCAGGGCTGGTGGCAACTCCAGTCCCCTAACCCTTCAAGCACTGTGCTACCTCTCACTCTGTGTTTCTCAGCACACCTCAGTTCTGAGCAGTAACAGTTTTTATTCCAGCATTACAGCTTTTCCCAGAGGGGATGAGTCCCAGGCAATACAATCCCACTCAGTGGATTCACATATGGTGGGGACCAACACCAAATCTAAGCTCCTTTGCAACTTAAGGCAACTCCTATGCATCCTGAGGAGAGGGACGAAGAGGAGACACCCAGGTAACTGTTCTACCTTTTCAAGTGTATTTTTCTAAGCTCCCTTACAAGGGTGAGGGAAGAAATTGGTGCATGACCCCTCTTCCACCAAGAAGAAAGTGGGGGGGAAGGTGTTCAAGCCAAAAATCTCCACAGCAGCATAGCCAGCTCTACAGAGCTGTAAAAAACCCAAACCAAACCAGAACAAACACACAAAATCAAGGAAACCCACCACCACCACAAAACCCAAACCAAACCACCCCCCACAAGAAAACTGCATTTTCCCTAAAATCCAACATCTTGAATGCCTATGATGAAGCATCTCAGAAAAATACTTTTTGGATAAGAGAGTCTATGACAGAGGGGAAGGAAACCAGAAGTTTGGAGTTCAGGAACTAGAATACAAACTCAACTTCAGGATTAAAACTGTCATGGAAATTGGCAATGGTGTTTTCAGTACAGTTAGAGCATCCCTGTGAAGACACTGCATTTATAAGGGCACATACCTGCTCACACTTGACTTGCAAGTAGGAAATGAAAGTTATAAAAGGAAGGAAAAGGAATTTATGCAGTGGCTCTTCACCTTACCTAGGTGACATTATACTCCTTGCTGTACTCCAGAGAAACATCAGTCCCTTATTAGACATTAAAAAGAAAAAGGGAGAAAAAAAAAAAAAAAGAGTCATGAACCCTTAACATCAGTCCAGTACACTGACCCCCAAATTATTATGCTTGAATTGAGAATTCGTTGAAAATGCAACACAACTTCTTGTACCAACATGTTCATGGCTAATAACTCCCTCCCCTCAACACACATTCATATCCATTTTGGAGGAAGAGTCTGGTCCACCCTCCTTCTCCAGTTTCACCTCCACCAGACTCCAACCACCAAATGTGTTGCTAGTCCTGGGTCACCAACCTTTTAGTCAAGCACTGTTCTTGGCTTAATGCAAGGAAGAGCTGCAAGTGTCCATACAATATATAAAACAGCAACAGCCCGTGCACTGAGATGATCACATGGACAAAGCAGACACATGGATGCTCTCCTTTCAATAAAGGTTCCTGTACAGAATTTCTTGTTGCAGGAAGAGTCCATCAACAAAAAAAACTTCAGAAGAAACTAATTGAGCTCCACACAGTTGAACCGAGTGAAATGCCAGGTTGCTTCCTGACTGTGGGAATGCAGGAGTCTGCATCAGACAGTAGATAAAGCTAGGCTAAAAGAGGCAGAAGCTGCTCCCCACCCCAATCAACCCAAACACTGATATATTTTAACATTATAACACCAATGCTACCCAACAAGAAGTCTTTCTTGAGGGGGGCAGGGACAGCACAATGAAGAGCAGGAAAAAAAAAAAATCATTCCAAGTTGCAAACCTTTTCTTTAACACTAAGTTTGGTCAGTAGGCTGACCACACAAGCTATTGCATGGCAGCAGGGAGTAAGTGCTCTCCTGAGCAGCCAAAGCCTATTTTCTAGTGGTAGCAGACCACAGGCATAGTTTTCCTTCAGTGTATCCTGAACTGTGGCAAAGAGATGAATCAAGAACCGAAGGCGGCGGCAGCTTCAGGAATTGCCGTGTTACATATGAAGCAATTACAGCTGCTTTGGGAGTCTTGCTTATTTTCAGGGTAAGGAAAGGCACCTTTCTATAACAGACATGTTAAAGGTCAAAAAATGTCTAACAACCGGGGAAGGAAAAAAAAAAAAAAAAAAAGAAAAAGCAGCCCATTGCATCTTCACCAGCACCTCCAGCAAACTGTTCCCGCTGGGTTGCTTCCCAGTGCCAGGGGCAGCAGCAGGCACAGCCACAGGAGAGGACCTTCCCAGGCTGCTCTGCCGTCCCAGCGGGCAGCACTTCTTCCACCACCAGCAGTTACAGTGGGGGACTGTGCAGGCGCTGACTGGGCAACAAAAACATCGTTTGCTTTGCAGGGGAGTGTTGGCATCAAAGGGTGTGCACCTTCTCCCAAGTAACCGGGGCACACGACTGATCTGCAGCAACAATGCCTGTCCAGAAACAGTACATGCAGTTCCTTAACACAGATGGTAAATACAGCATTAAACGGCAACACAGGTAAGAGAAGAGCAAAAGCAGGGCAATCACCAACAAGTGATGTTTTACAAAGCAGGATATTTAGAGTCACTTTGTGCGGATTCAATGCCTGGTTCCACTGTCCAGCGATCCATTCAGGACTTGCTCCCGCTCCCTGGGCCATGAAAGGCCAGCCCCCGCCCCGTTAGGTGCTCACAGTCCAGCGGTCTGAATTCCCTTCCCTGCCCCTGCCAGCAGCAAACATTTTAAGGAGGGCAACCAGCCTGAACTATACAGCTCACACCAGGTGAGAAATCCTTCTGCACGGGCACCCCTAGGATTTCAGAATCTGCCATCCTCATGAGCTATGTCAACCCAGCACCCCAATCCCAAGGTTGCTGTTTTAAGTATCTCTGGCTGGAAGTATAAGAGCTTGTTGGAGGCTTTCTGCATGTTAAGAGCTCTTCATCCCCTGTTGTGCGGTGACAATATTTTACACATTTAAGCTAGGATGCTGATGGAAACAGGGAGTTGTAACTAGAATTCTCTGCCACACCTTCAGACACATTATTGCATGCTATCTGCCCCAAGTGCCATGGCATTTAATTCAGAAAGTACAAACAAGTTTTTCATGCTTCAGATTTAAAAGGATACCACCAATAAAGGTTACAGACAGAGAGCCTCTAGCTATCGCCATGAGTAAACACAACAGAATCCCTTTCAAAATTTAAAGTGTGTATGCTTTTTCCACCCTTCAATACAGAAATCACCATGCAAAGCAGTATTTCCATGAAAAATCAGCTCCCATTTAAATGAACAGGAAAAAACCCCAAACCATGCAATGACATACGGTTTTACCAGATGCAGTAATTAAAAATCCAAGTTTAAAAAAAACCAAAAAGCAAACACAAAGTCATCATCAAGTTTTCTGTTTTATTTAAGATTTTAGTTTTAATTCTGAAGAAAGAGGTACATTTCCTTGGTTTTAGTTTTAGCATCAGGTTATAGCCATGTTTATTTATCTGTTTCTTTTTTCCTGTCTTTTCAATACTGCACAAACGTCCAGAAACTACAGGGTTAAGTAAAAGCTGCAGGCAGAGGAGGTCAGAGGTTGCTCCTGATGGTGATCATGTGGCCCCAATGCAGTGCTATCCCAGAGTGCCCTAATCAGGTGAATCTTTGTTTTTTTTAAAAAAAAGAAAGAGAGACTGACAGAGGAGACAGAAAGACTGAAGTAAATATCACTCGTGTTTCAGCTGCTTATATTACGTATACGCTAGGTATTAAATCTGTGAATACTTTTAAAACATTAAAGTTTACTTTAAATCTAAAGCCAAAATTAAAGAAAAATCTTATTCTCCCCTCTTTAAACCACTCTTTAGCAACATGCCAGTTACTCATAGCTCTAAGTGTTCTGTCTTTCAACACACTTCATGTCAAACTGACTGACACAAAATCCCCTTCTCAAAAAAAAACCAAAAAACCAGCATAGCAATTTCCCTGTGTAGTGCCACACTGAATGCAAAATAAATGCTAGGCCACTGCTTGCCCCACATGTTCAGTAACTTCATTTAAATTAAATATCTTTTTCATGTTTCTGCATTTGATTCTGCATTGCATATTTTCCCCTACTGCAGATTGACACTTTTCCACTAGGCAGAAATACTCATGTGCAAAAGACATAAGACAGTAATATTCTCCTTAAGCATTGAGACTGCAATTTGACTTCTCTCTCTCTTTTTTTTTTTTTCTTAGAATGGTTAGAAAATATTTCAAACAGTGTATTTCAAACACTGGCTCAGCAGAAACTTAACAAAAAGATATGGTCATGACCCTGTGATGGCATTGCATTTGGGGGGAAGGTTTGATCAGGAACTGGATTCTTCAGAAAGAAAGATATGACAGGGAACAGTAGGTGGGCATGGGGAGGAGTCAGGGTGGGACACTTCCTGCATTTCTAACGTTTTGGGTTTTATTTTTCTTTTTTTTTCTTCTTCCTCCTTTCCTAATGACGATCCAGCGCTGAGCTCTGTAGTAGATCTGTGGGGGTTTTACTGGGGGGTCTGAAGGCTGTCTGAAAGCCTGGTGGTGGGGAATGGAAGCTGGTGGGGTTTGAAGGAGGAGAGTAGGGATTCCAACTGGCTCTGTGCAGAGGGATCTGTGTGCCAAAGGGGTTACTGTGGTGCGTCTGTGATGGTGCTGCACTGGGGCCGTCCACCTCTGTGAGGGCCTGAAGAGATTTTAGCCAATGTGGAGGATTGTCATCTTGAAGGGTGTCTAAACTGTTTCCTGTGGAGGCTGGGATACCTATGAAGAGAAGAAAAAAAAACAGGGATACAGGCAAGTCAGAGCAGAAGCAATAAGCCGAGCACGAAGGAGGTCAATTTAACCTAACAAAAAGCAACAGTGAGAAAACATGATTAGTTTGCACAGAGAATGCATTTTACATTATTACATATAATTACCCTGCCCGCAAAACATTTAACATTAAATCCAGATAGGAGAAAGTTCCCCCTCAGAGCACTTCTTCACAAAATACACATTTTTCTATCAAACATACTGTGCAAGGACTGCATCCCTGTTGACGTGACTTTACCACACCAAACTACCAGTACACTGCATGCTTCACCTCCTACTCTGCCTACCTGAATCATGCTTCAGCCTCTCTAACAGGGAAACACAACCAGACAGCCTTATAAAAGAGAGCTTTATAAACAAGTGGAGTATGTCCCTTTTTAAATAACAAAGTCCAGCGAATGCCTTCAGTGCCTCAGGACCAGCGGCGCACATACCGGACATGCCATCCAGCGAAGGGACACCTACATTGACCCTATAGATAAGCGCTGATCCACCTGACTGCCTGCAGAGGTCCCGGGCATGCATTGCAAAGGCCTAAGTGACGCTTTGTTATACCTAGCGGTTCCACAAAAATTCCTGGACCCTTGAGGTTTTGTGGATGGAAGCTGGAAGAGACCACCGCATACTGACTTTTTCTTTTTTCCAGATGTAAATCAGTTTGTGCCAAATACCCATTTGATGGTTTGCCAGCGGAGCTGAAGGAGTGAGAAACGGTTACCTGTGATGATTGCGGGGTCCATCCAGCTGCCAGGGCTGTCCCAATTCAGGCTGTCGGTGGTGGCAGTGTTGGACGTTGGTACACTGTGGTTGGCGTTGGAGGGGGAAGAAGCATTGGGCAGTCCACCAAAGCTGATGTTAATGTTCGGTAGAAGTGCCCTTAGCCCGTCCTGCCATTCCTTCATATTTAAACTCTCTACAGAACTGCTGTTGTCTGGGAGATTTACCAACAAAAAAAAAATGAAAGATAAAAAAATAAAAAGCTGAAGTTAGAAACAGATGTCCTTCTTTGGTGGGGTATGGGATTTTGTTTTTACTTTTTAAGCTAAGCATTTAATACTTTCTCTGTCCAAAAACTAGGGACAATGTTTATGTGATTGATGAATTACTCAGAGGGGCTGGCAGGTTTTAAACCAAGTATAAGGGAGTGGGAGAAAGATTTAACTCCTCCCCCAGTTAATATTTCCCCACTTTTTTCAGTTCAGAGACTCAAATAATCAAGGGCACAGTGGCTCTCCCTCTATTACTAATAGGGGAAAACCTACCAGATCCTTTATGAGAATACCTCTGTTGCAAGCTAGATAACCCAATTCGGCTGCTTTATTAATGGGCAGCAGGCTCGAAAGGGTTTTCTTTGAAGTATATTAAAATGAAGAAAGGCTAGGTAGGGCTTTGCAATAGAAACCGAACATGAGGAACCATGGAGGCGGAGAGTATCACAAAAGTTTTTTGTTTTGTTATAGCTCGCTCATTCACAGCCCTACAGATGTTCTTCCGAAGGAAATGGTAATTAGGTTTTCATGAAGTTGGAGGGAGTGCAATTTCCTCTTGCAGTTGAAGAACAGTAGTGAAAATTCTTTAGAGACCTTTCAGAATAATTCCCGGCACAGCAACATCCTCAAAACTTTGGTTAGAAGCAAACCAGCTGGACACCAAAACAGTCAAGTCTCACCTATTTGCCTAAGTGTTTCAGGGCATGTATTGGAAAAGGACAACAGGATAACGTGGCTATTAGCACTACAGCAAATGAGCCCTGAACACAAACGTTAAACCATGCCATCTGGAATGGACTATCAGGTTCTATGATCCATCTCCTGCTTTAGGTATCTCAAAGCAAAACAAGCTGGACACGTGCATCCAAGTATTTATCAGCCAATACAGAAAGTCATACATAATTAACTTGTGGTCAAATATATTTGAAAAGGAGTGTTAGGTAGTACACTGGTAGTACACTCTTTTTGAGAAATACCTAGAATACAACTTTTTTTTTTTTTTTTAAAACCATCTCTGCCTGTCCTAATTGCAGACAGGACCTTGATGTCAATCAGAAGTGTTACAGTGAGATACTTACATAATACTGCTACTTCATCAACAACTGCAGAGATTTAAGTCTTCATGGAAAACTAGAGGATATCACTAACTTGCAACTCTGTATATTGGACAGTGACAAAAACAGTCTCACTTGCTATCAAAACCTGCCTTGGCAATTCTTGTAAAACTGAATGCTCAGAAAGAACTGATGTCTCGAGCAATTATCTTTTTGCAACTAGGGGACCCCCCCCCCCCCCCCCAAGTTCTTGAAATCCTGTGCTTTCATGCAGAACTTTCCTTCCCCAGGCCAGAGTTTTTTTAGAGTAAACTTTATATAAGATTCTGCTTCTGTACAGAATTACAGCAAGCAACTTCAATCACAAATCACAGCAAGTCATACCTCAGTCCATGTCAGCAACTGAACTTCAAAACAAATTACTACGCAAATCTGCTATATCCACTTTGCCTGTGACAATTGTTGGAGCAATCCATTCATTTCTAGTCCTATGCATGCCTAATGCAGCTGTTCTAGCACAAGCATCCATCTGCATGCATAGATGTCCCCACATAGCAGGATGGCAGCTGACACCTAGAATGTCTGCAGCCAGACTGATGCTGTGCATGGAGCCTGGACAGGGATAACAGCGCAGATGCAGGTGTAGTGTACTACAAAAATCATCCTCTGTGCCTGGGCAAGTTTGCAGAATACATTTGACTCTGAAAGGTTTACAGTTGACTGCTGTTATCCCCACTCACTGGCTGAGACTGGGGAATGACTCTTCCTCAGAGGTTACAGCATGAGGTACCTCCATGGGGGAGACAGACAACTCCAAAGCATTCCCATAAACAAAGACAGGACAGGTCAAAAACAGGTAGTGAAAGTAAACCCAAAAGCCTGTCCATTACTACATGCATCATGTTACATCTAAAGATTAAAATTTTAAATGCTACAGGAGAAAAAAAAACCCAGTCATAACAGAACTGCAGCTCTGCCTCAAGCAAGTAACCTCAGATCAGCTTTTTAGTAACACCTTAGCAAACATACGCAATCAAGCCTCCAGACATAAGTGTGACTGTATCCACACACTGCGTGCAGCAATGTGCTCTGTGGGGCCTGGTGTACAAGTCACTTTGGGTGAAAAAAAGCAGGCTTATCAGAGATTTGTTCTGTGTTCATTTAGCATCGAGCCATAGTGTCTACAACTGGCTTTCATGTCTACTTTCATTTCTCCTACTGTAAATCAAATCTACTTCCTGTTCCCTCCAGAGCTCCCACTTTTTTCTTTGCCATACTAATGCACATAATAAACAGTTTTAATGAGTTTGGTGCAATATGTTTTTCACTGAAACCTACCATCCTGGGGTTAAAAAAAAAAATCAAAATTTTATAAAGTATTAGTCAGAAATATCCTTGATAGATATTTGCTCACAACCCTCTTGAACATCCATAAGCCTATTTGAGACAAGTTCTAAATTCATTTTTCAGAACAAAAGTAGCCAGCTCAGCAGCACGGAAATAACTGTGCAGCAGATTCTGCATGGTAAACCATTAGTTTCCACTTTATTTTCTCACCACTGCTTCCAACAGCTTGTGCAAAGAAATGTAGCTCAGTTTAGTAACTTGCTTCTCTTACAAGGCAAAAAGCACACACAGGATGCTTACTAGGACCACGCACGAGTGAACATACTCACTGCAATACCTGCGAGCTGGGGATCTGCAAGCTCATGATGATCTTAATCATGGACATTGCTAACCCCCAACATGCCCTCAAAGCTCATGTGCAAGAAAATAAACATGGGCAGTAAGCTACACACCTGCAACATATCATTGAGGAAGTCTAATGAAGACAAAGCCAGCAAGATGTCATACTTATAAGGAATGGGACAGGAAAATAAATGTAGTAAGGCATTAGGCCACCTTAGGCTAAGAAACTGTATCTATTTTTGTCATGTTATTCGCCATTTAAAAAAGACTAATGCAGCATACATGAGTCCAGAAAGATAGTAAGCAGTTAAGATACAAGATTTTCATGGAATAGAAAAGGCTGGCACTATTCGTTGAGGAGATATTAATCTGTGAGGGAGGCATAGTCCACCATTGCTGTGACTAACACAGAGCAAAAGAAAATAAGAAGAAACTGAGGAAGGCTGTCCATCTCAACTGTCAGTACAAAATCCACTTGGAATCACAGAAGTCAAGAGATGAAAGTCCTAGAAGGATTCAGTATCTATAAAAACTGTATTATTTGCTAGCAATAAGGAAGTTTGTTTATTAAAATCTTGTGCTCGTGGGTTCAGAAGTGACAAAACACAGAATTCCAAAAGATTTATTGTCCTTCCCAGACAGCTCGGTGTGTGGGGCTGAAAGGCAAGGTACAACAAAAACATTGCCCTCTGACACCAAAGAAAGAGCAAGCAATGCATTACTCAGGTGTCTGTAACAGGGTTTTCCAGCTGGGCTAATAAATGCACAGAATGAAAAAAAAAAACCAAACATGACCAAAGTTTCACAGCTTTGTCAGACTCCCAAGCCTGTAAGGAGAAATGCTGCAATTAAATTATTTTTATAATATAGGATCTGGTAAGGGATTAAAACGCATTAATGTGTTAAAGTAGATGGGATCAATACAGAATGCAATGCTCTACAACACTCCCTGCACTGCCCTCCAAGGCCTCAGTTGCTGGCTATTAAACACCAGCAGTTATTAAACACCCAGTTAGAAAAACGTCTGATGCAACCCAAGTACATGAGCAATCTCCAGGCACCATTCAGCAATACCCAAACCAAACAATTAAATCATCACATCTTTGCTACAGTCTGACAAGTTTTAAACAAGAGTCTAAGTGAAAGTACAAGTCCAACCCAGAGGCAGGAGTTACTTCCACCACCTGAAGAAAATAAGTATCTTCAGAAGGAATTACTACTCATCCCTCAGCTAGTTTGTCCTTTTTGTTAATTACATTTATGCTTCACCATGAAGCTAGTACCGTAGTTAAAAATGAGAAAAGGTTAACTCTCAGCTAATACAGATCTATTAAAAAGGGCATCTGTCTATTATATTTCCCTACTTCTAAACTTAACTGGTTGAAGGGAGTAATTTTTTTACTAGCTAGCAGACTTCTCAGTTGGACATCATAACCTAGGGGTGTGAGAACCAATACACCACTGCTTCCCTCTCTCGAGTAGAGGAAACACTGTCTCCTTCCATAGCCTCATTGTAATTTAAAGCAGTATGTCTGCGGACAGTGGGAAAACACAGAAGGGGACAAGTTAAAACCCGGTAGACTGCAATGAAAAGATTTTGCACACCAAGATAAATTGGAGATTCCTACCCCATGCTCCGGCTTTGTCTCCGAGAGAATAACCTGGTGAAGTGTCACTAAAAGCACCACTATTCACATGAAAAATAGGCTTAAACACACATTCTGAACTCCAGTCTTCCCCTGATGTGCATTTCATAACCCTATCTGGTCTAGTGGAAAATTGTGTTTACAGAGGTGAACCAATCCCATAGTTCTAGCACTGAACTTTTTCATGTCTGAGGTAGTATGCCAATATCAAATAAAAGCACTTGTATGTAAAATTTTCAAAGTCAACCACTGTCTTAAAGTGAGCAAAGGGAAGAAAAAAAACCAAACCACTTCATCACAAACTTAACCTGTACACCTAATTTAAATAAAAAATACTTAAAGCTAGCTTAAAATAGAATACAATTGAGAAGCCTGAACATTCATCTGTATAAAAAACCTGGTCATTTAATGAATTTCTAAATAAAATCATTGCCCCATCATGACATCCTACCAGACAGTCTGGTAGTGTTACTTCAATATCCTCTACCTGAAATGCCTTAATATTATTCCTTCAAATCAGGCAAAGCAGTGCGTGTTTGGGGGAGAGATGGC